CATCACTCACTCACCTCAGTCATTCCTTGTCACCAGCCCCCATTCATCAGTCCCTGATTTCGCTCCCTCAGCAGTGCATTCCAGCGTACCATCTCCCATCCACATACTCTCTGCCAATCCATCGCAGCCATACGACTTTCGCACCTCCGCTCTTCTCGACGTTCGATCGTAACAATCCATCACTCGCCTACAAACCGTCTCGTTCATCTTGGACATTGAACAACCGCTGGACCTGGATGCTCCGGCAATCGAAACCAGCTCTTTCAAGGAGCTCCTAAACAGGCCGCAGCAATTGGAACGGACCCGCTTACAGCCTTTGAGCTGAGGCACCCGTCCTGGCTGAGAAGCCCGACACTTAAAAAAAAATCACATTCGTCAGATTCCCAATCAGAAATGACTGTTGCACACGATTTGACCCATCGCGGGTCGTCCTCCCATAGCGCCCACATGGTTGCGTTGGAGGACCGATTCGAGGTCCTGAAGGAAATTGGCGATGGCAGCTTTGGAAGCGTGGCTCTCGCCAGAGTCCGCAGCGCTGGTGCCCATGTGGCTCGCCGCGGCACAGTGGTAAGTCGCGTTCGCCGTAAGCGTCTGCCGTGCCTTCGTTGTCCCTCTAACCAATCTAATGTAGGTCGCCATCAAGACGATGAAGAAGAACTTTGAGTCTTTCAGCGCATGTCTGGAGCTTCGCGAGGTCGTCTTTCTTCGCACCCTTGCTCCCCACGCCCACCTCGTTCCTGCTCTCGACATCTTCCTCGATCCCTACAGCAAGAAACTTCACATTGCCATGGAATACATGGAGGGCAACCTATATCAGCTCATGAAGGCGCGTGACCACAAGGTCCTCGACAATGCCAGCGTCAAGAGCATTCTTTTCCAAATCATGCAAGGTCTGGAGCATATTCACGCTCACCACTTCTTCCACCGTGACATTAAGCCCGAGAACATTTTGGTCACCACGTCGGGACACCAGGACTCTTCCGTCACATCGTTCCGTCGTTACTCCGCCCTTGTTACGCCTCCGTCAACACCTCCCAACTACACTGTCAAGATTGCCGACTTTGGTCTTGCTCGCGAAACGCACTCAAAGCTTGCGTACACCACGTACGTGTCAACGAGATGGTACCGTGCTCCCGAGGTCCTGCTGAGGGCCGGCGAGTATTCGGCGCCTGTTGACATCTGGGCCATCGGCGCCATGGCCGTTGAGGTCGCCACACTGAAGCCTCTGTTCCCCGGCGGAAACGAGGTGGACCAGGTCTGGCGGGTATGCGAGATCATGGGCAGCCCGGGCAACTGGTACAACAAATCCGGTGGTCGTGTTGGCGGAGGTGAGTGGCGAGAGGGTACTCGGCTGGCCGGGAAGCTTGGATTCTCTTTCCCCAAGATGGCGCCACATGCTCTCGACACGATTCTCCAATCGCCAACATGGCCTCGAGAGCTAAGTCACTTCGTGACCTGGTGCCTGATGTGGGATCCCAAGAACAGGCCCACTTCTGCCCAGGCGCTTGCTCATGACTACTTCATCGACGCCGTCGACCCTCTTCGCCCTCGGTCTTCGGCTTCGAGGATTCTGGGAAGGAAGCAATCAGACCTTGGCCGTGGCAAAGACTCAACAGCGTCGACGCCTACCTCGTCTAAGCCGTCGTGAAAAAAGCAAATCTCTCATCGGACGTTCCGAGACGACCGATATCTCAACCGCCCAACTCGCGGCGAAGGATAGTTCAGCTCCTCGGCCCGCCCCGGTCCATGCATCAACAACGAACGAAGTCCCCGTCACGAAGACCCGGCCTGCTGCAGGCAAGCGAAGCACATGGACTAATGGTCCGTCCAACGTTGCGCCAATGCCAATCCTGCCTACCATCAGGCCCATCTCGCCGCTGTCCGACGCTGTCACGGCACAGGCCAGCAACGGCTCGTACAACGATGCTTACGCGAATGGGAGCCACCGGGCAGTCCAGATTGAAGGAAAGCCTGCGAAGGTCAGCCGACAGCTGTCGGTCGCGTCCAGTACCAACAACTACGCGGAGATCCACCGTCAGCAGGCTGAGCGGGCCCTCAACGGCAACTCTGGACTCGCTTCTCCACCGAGCGGTCAGAAGGAGGGCTTCTTCTCTCACCTGCGGAAGCGTGCTCGACGATTCTCCGGAAGGCATCAGACACCAATCTCGCCAACGCATGAATCTATTGAGGGCCAGGTTGGTTGTGGACCCTGGAACAGCAACAGGTCTTCCATGGTGATTGACCAATCTCCACCGCCGCCGCCCAAGGCCGAAACCTATGAGTCGCTTGACAGGGCTCTGAGAGATGTCCAGCAGCATCGCGAATTGCAGGCACCTGTGCCCCCTCAACACGCGTCACCCACCAACAACCTCAAGAGACATCACTCGTTGCCAAAGCACAGCCAGCCACGTTCGGTCGATAACCTGATGATGGCTGCGCGCAGTGGTGGTCCCATCTCTAGCCGCACTCGTCGCGCTCAAGCCACGCAAGGTGTACACCAGTACGAAGCTCCTGACGAAGAAGACGAGCTGCTGGACGAGGTTCTTAACTCAACGCATCGGGCCATGAAGCGTATGGAGAAGGATGGCAAGCCGGGACTACGGCAATCGGCCAGCAACATTGGCATCGCCAATCCGTACCCTACACCGTCGCCATCCGGCAGCGGCAATGCGGCGGCTTTTGGCGACGGCGCATTGACGCCTAAGCCTCTTGACCTCAAGAAGAACCGCAACGCCGAATACAAGTGGCCGACGCCCCCCTATGAGGAAAGCGAGTGGGCAGCCTCGGCATCTGCAAGCATTTGGGCTGCCGGCAACCGATTCTAAAGGATGATTTATTTTCTGGGAGGAACTTTTCACATGGTTACACGGCATGTTCAGCAACAAAAAGTCTTGTGTGTTTTTACCTCTCGGCATTTTGCAAGGAGTTTGGGGAGCGGCCGGATGCCTACCACGTTGGTACTTAGTCGTCTGGTTAGGGACGGCTATTGATTTTCTGTTGCTTCTGGATTTTCTTCTACTTGGCGGCATGGCCTTCATCTCAGGAACCACAAGAAGGGTTCCATTCTCGACTCACAACATTCGATACCATCTCGCCTGACAGTCGATCCGCTTGAGCGCGCATCCACTCTTTTTTTTTTTTTTTTTTTTTACTATTTTCCATCATTTCACCATCGGTTTCCGACAATACCCCTATTTTATAGACTGAATCGGGCGATTTCATCTTTTCCGCACAAGCACAGCGGCTCGTCCAAACCGGGCATTTTCCTTTGTCAGAAATCGCAACTAGGGAAGAGACGTCCTGGGACGACAAAGATCGACATCATGGCCATCAGCAGATGGCAAGGGGAAAGGAAATGGGCATGCGCCACCAGATGTACAAAAACAAAACATAAGGCCTTCATTCTTACTGGGTTACTGCGGGCTGGACACGACAGGAGACTGGCAAGCTTGGAGGTCTTGCTGGACGCCGCGAGGCGGGGGCAGGCAAGGCGCGCGGCAGGGCAATTGGAAGGACCATGGTACCGTACATATGGATCTCGCATCGACTTGTTCTAGAGCCGCCATTGGTCTGTGGCTGTGGTCATGATGGTAGGAGATCAGGGTACCTAGCGTAAATGGGCTGTATCTACGAAGGGTGGTTTCGCCCAGCCATACCTAATAGGTGGGAGAAGCCACTGTAACGATCATGATTGGTGTCAGAGTATGTGCGTCCTTGTGATGAATCTTAACCTGTTCCCTGACATGCGACTCGCCACAACGAAGCAGGTCAGATGGCTGGGCCTACCTCGCGACCGTATTGTGGGCGGGTGACTTGCTGGTCTGACACGGGGACACGAAACTCTACGGCGAGTGGGCGACACGAGTCCCGCTGATTGGCACCGTCTGGTCTGGTCAGGTACCGACGCTCAGCTGAGCATCGTTGGTCGCGCGCGCGTGTGTGTGTGTGTGCTGTGTCGATGTACCGGGCAAGTCGCTCGGCGCGGCTCTCAGTCTAGTTTGCTTTCATGGCCTTCGCGACGGTCCTTGTATCTGTCGTGTGTCTTTTCCTTTTCTCCGTTCGGCGCCTGCGTCCTTCCACCGGCCGGACTGGATCGCGGCTGCGCAATGTGGGGTGGGGCATCAAGGGACACCGATGGCGCGGCTTACCGCGTAGACACCCCGGCGGACGCTGGCGTTCAGAGATGGAGACGAAGGAAGAAGAGCCGAAGACGTACTTTGCATTCGGCGCGGTGATGCGCGAGCCGGCTGCGAGGACAATGTTAGCTTCTCTCGTATCGACATACAAGGCAGCTTCAAGGCGAAGGCGCTGGGTGGCTTTGGTGAGTCAGCGGTAACGCGAGATGCCCGTCTCGAGGAGGGCGGGCTCGGTGAGCTGACCGAGGCGAGGCAAGATGACTTACGCCAAGTTTGATTCATTCTTCCGAATCACCCGCGGTGGGATGGAATGATTTGCCATTATCCTCTCTAACGCTACGAAATACTATCAACCACTTTATACCACGACTCGCGTACGCGACCTCACGCCTTGTCCACGCTGAAGGAGTACCGCGCCTGGAGGACATAGGGTCCATCCTCCGGGCCAAACACTTGCCTCTTCTCCCTTCCCCACTCGGGGTGGTTGATACCGTCGATCCAATCCTGCACCTCGAGGACGACGCAGCCGTACCGCGGGATGATGCGCGGGAAGGCGTCGGTACCCTGCGTCTTCTTGAGAGGGATCGATCCGTCCTGCTGCGTGCAGCTGTACACCTGCAGCGCTTCCTGCTCCGAGAAGACCTCGACGGCGATGCCGGACCACGGCGACGACAAGCGGGCGACGTAGCCCGAAGACCGCCAGTCGTAGTTGCCGAGCGCCTCGCGGTTGACGGTGTAGCAGTTGTCGTAGCCCGTGCAGCCGGTGCCGCAGTTGCCCTCGAGCTCGTCGCTCGTGGCGTTGGCGCCCATGGGCTTTGGCGCGGACCAAAAGTCGTTGACGGACCCCTTTTCGTTGGCGACCACCTCGCCCGTGGGGATGAGGATGCCGTCGACCCCGATGCGCTGTCCGCTGTAGGGCAGGTGCAGGACGTGGTCGTCGGCCGAGCTGGTCTCCTCATTGGCGAACCCGTCGAGGTTCCAGTACGTGTGGCTGCTCAGCATGATGGGCGTGCGCGCCGTGGTCGACACGGCCACCATGGAGATGTCCCAGTCCCAACCGCGCAGGGTGTACGTCACGTACGAGATGACCTCGCCGGGAAAGCCCTCCTTGCCGGCCGGGTCGACGAGCGAGAAGGTGATGCTGTTCTTGGTGTGCGCGGCGACAGTGAAGTTGCGCCAGCCCCAGCCATCGGGTCCGCCGTGCAGCGTGTTGAGACCCTCGGGGTGTTCGGGTGTCTTGTTGTCGTTGGGCTTCACATGGAACGTCTCGCCGTCAATATCAAACGTGCTGTTGCGGATTCGGTTGGCGTAGCGACCGGGAACATTGCCAAAGTTCGGGTGCACGGGATCCTCTGTGTAGTACGTCGCGTTATCCCAGCCGGCGACGATGTCCCGCGGCACACCATTGCGGTCGCGGACGATGAGGTCTGATATGGAAGCGCCGTAGGGGACAAAGGCGGCGCGGAGGTGTTCGCTGGAGATCCAGTATTTGCCGTCGGCATCAGGACCGGGGGCCGTAGTGTTGGTTGTGTTGGTCGTCGCGTACGAGAGGGGAGTACCCAAAACGAACGGAAGGACACAGGCCACCGCCGCAAGGGAGCTTGTGGGAAGGATCATGGTGGCGATGAAGATGAGAGGACCTGGTGAGAAACGAGACCGAACGCTGGAGTGCGCGCTTGGTTTCATCGAGCGCTTCTCCAGGCTTTTAAGCGTTTCCTGGCACAGTAACATCTCGCCCCGCCTCGGGTCGCGCGCAGATCAAGGAACCGTGGACAAGAATGCATCCTGAGTGGTGCGTCTAGCACGTGGTGTTCTGCCGCCGGTGGAACAACGGTCTGAGTGACGAGAGCTCTCCCTCAACTCGCAGCATTCCATCTCGGCAGGAACCAGCTCGGGGGTAGTTTGGCCGCAGACGCGAGGAAGCTTACAATGGGACGTTGTAGTCGCGGTGGGCTAGCAGCCCAAGCTTCGTCGATCACCTTCCTTCGAGGTGGCTGGTCTGGCGGTGTTGATGGTTTATTTCAATCTAAGCCGGCACTTTTCCGGGGGCGCTGGAGCCGTGTCGTCAGGCCTCTGGTTTACGCCGCCCGCTCATTGGAGCGCCTGTGACCGACTTGCATGATGGCGACGCAAGACGGGGGAACATGGGACGTGGGGAAGACAAGAAGCAGGTTGTTGCTCATGCGGGGTGAACTGCGCTACCCCAGATTTCCCAAATGCTTGTTGCAGCAGACTTGACGTAGCAGCCGGTTGGGAGACGCAAGGCTCGAGTAAATCTTTGTGTTGCTCAGCATCATCGCGTTACTGTAATGTCCTGTCTTCCTCTACCCTTATTCCCAGTTCCCACCATGAATGACATTGGGCCCAGGATCTGCATGCGTAGACTGGTGTCGACGCTGCAGCACACCATCCATTATATAGCCTTGCTAGAAGGCTGGCCATCACTCTTCGCCCTGGCAAGCAGTGCACTCCTGACACTCGATGTGATGTGCATCCTTGCCATAGTTCTGCTCCTTGAAGCTGAATAAGTTTCTAACTCCAGGGAACTCGACAAAGATATCGCCGTGTGCGTCGCAGCTGGACTGGCTCGATACTCTGTGGTACACGTTAGGAACAAGGGAAGAGAGGGTGGCGGATTTCCTTGCTCTCACGTAGTTATGCGGCAGAGAGCTCCACGATCTGGCCCGATGGAACCAAGATTGTACGTGAACGGCGCCGGAATGACCTGGCATGTATACGAGATGGGAATGGCCACACGTGCGCATTCGCCAGCCCATTCTGGCTCGGTACACATATATACCTGTTGTTCAAGGAGCCATGACTATTAGACCCTGCGCATAGTCTTCTTCAGAGGTAAACTTACACTGCCTGGGGAGCGCTTGCTGAGGATGTTGTCGGCGGGCGAGCTAGCCATCATCCGAGCAACCTCAATCGCGTTGATAGCTGTCCAGCCTCGGGGTAGCTGCAAATCTGCATCGCGACCACTTATAGGTGCAGCGAAAGCTGCTGGAAGGAAAGATATGATTGCTAGATACTTCATGTTGCTTTTTGAGAAGGGCGAATTACCGGCGCTCTGGCTGCTCGAGTGAACAGATGTATGTGTTAACACTTTGTTGGGTTCTGATGTTCACCGTTGAATGACGTGTGGTGGATTTATACTTTCTTCAGCTCCTGGCTCCTAGCTCCTGTGGTGCTGTTGAAGAAATCATGGCTACTGACGTGCTGCGATTCGTTCAAGCCTACTACATCTAGCACCAGGACACGTCATAGGCGTTATGAGAGTAGGCTCGATACGATGTGTCGCTACAGTAGCTGTCGTTACACAGTCATTCGTATACTGCGAGATCGTGACGAGCCCGGCGTTTTGACACTTCGATACACCGCTCTTTGCTTTGAGAACGAAACCAACCTCGTACTGAACGAGGATGTAGCTCGGTGCAGTGCTACCGACTGGGTTGAATGGCTGCATGGCGATGAAGCTTGACGCCGAGCGGGAAATTTCCTTCTAAGCGAATCATCACCGAGCTGTAACTCAGGCGGTAAGCACCTAGAGGACGCTACAGTCGTACACTGCTTGGTACTCGAATACTGCTCACGTCATTCTGTATCAAGCACATGGGAAAGCTCGCCTTCGAGGTGGCTGGTCGCTGATCGAGCAGCTGGTTCATCATGTGAACGAGTGATTCGGG